CCCTGGATCCTACCTTATCGAAGTCATTTGATGGTCATGTAGGTGTGATGCAATTTCTTTTTTTTTTTAAACATATACCTGATTGCTGAGAAAGTTAGTTGCTTTCCTTTTTAGGAGTATCCATGCCAAACTGTTCCCTCCTAAGCTTAGAGGTTGATGAGGCGTTCTGTCTGCATGGTGCAGGCCAGCCAAATCACGGTGCTGGGCACTTACTCGTCCTGCCACATCCTTAAGGCAATGATTTATTCTTAGGCGTCCCTAGGAGTCCTCCGGAGAGGACTACATGTAGCACTACCAGAATTACTGCATGACAAACTAAACTTCTGTTTCTTGGTTGTCTTCTTGATGTTAATTAGCCGTGTGTTGGCATTCTCTTGTTTTGAGCTCATGGTGATGTAACTCCCACACAGTTCATTTCAACCATATACTTAATATGGTTAAAGCAATGGGATTTCTGTAGGCGTTTGTGAAATTCTATTTGAAAACAAGTTACGGCTACGAGGATTGCAAGGGCTCAAGTTGTGGCCAATGGCTAACTTGTTGAACCCATGAATAATATTGTAGGGGAGGGCATTGGGAGTGAAACATTTAATGTGAAATAGCAAAACCACATTTCAGACTTTCAAAGCCTCATGACATAAGGCTCATTCAAATGTTAAGACATTAAATTCAAGATATTGATACAAATAATTCCAGAATTATTATCTGTGTAACTATTGATTTCTTGAGTAGGTAGCTATGAATAATAAAGCAGCATAATGTTGAAAGGAAGAACCCATTCAATGTTTTGGGTTCACTTCAACCATAACAACCATCTCACCATACATCGTCCCTTTTCAGAGGAGGTGGAAAGAACAGTTTTGGAACAGTTAAAAGTAAAGTTAATGTAACGGATCTTATCAAAAAACATCAGCTTTCTGCAATGACAATACATGTAAGTTGTTAAGTGGCCATGGTGGCTTAGAAAAACTCAGAATAACACACGTGACTCTGTTGAAAACCTATAAATGATATACATTTTGTTTCATTAATCATCTCACTTGGAAGCCTATGTATTTTCTCATCATCGCTGTCATGGAGCCTAAACTACTGCTCTTATGTGTTTAGCACTTATGCTGTACAACGCTGGAAAATAACGACTCTTTATTTTGACCATGTAAACCATTTCAAGATCCAACCAACAGAGCAGCCACAATCTACACATCTGTCTGACCACACACAAACAAACATGTCTTTGTTTAATTTTTATTACCATATGATATATATTATATACCTATTCCATATAATTCCACCATGTCTGTTCTAAACTTTTGAATGACACTTCATTTGACCAATCAAGACTTACCATTCACTGTTTCTAGGCTACTATAGCCAATGAGAGCCGGAGTAGTAACCTATTACATTACATCACACATGATGCAGATCTTCTAGTTAAAAAATGGGATAACAAACAGGGTCAGCCGATACGTCTCTTCAGACAGTCAGGTGCATATGACGTCAGCTATCTTGAGTTGGTGAAAATTGATTCAAGTAATGAAAATGATTACGGGAACCAAATTTAAAGGAAATTAAATGTTTAGCTAATCATTCTTCTAATTAACATTCACATTACAAAATGTAACTTCTGCTTCACCTAGTAGTGACCGTTTTTATAGCTTTGTATGCTAAACATTTTCCTTTATAAATGGAAATATCAACTAGAAAATATGAGAATAATGTAAAGAAATCATCCTGGCATGATCAGAAGCTCTAGACCAGGGGTTTCCAAAGTGCGGCCCGAGGGCCATTTGCGGCCCTTGAGGGGATTTTTTGCGGCCCTTGACTTCAAATGAAGAATCAGAAGATTTTGGCCCGAGGCCTTAATTAAGATTGGCACATTTTCTTATTTTTATTTATCATGTTAACAAGGGCTGAACAATATTCCTAAAATAGAAAATGTTCAGTAACATGTATGTTGTTGTTGTTTTTAAATCTACAGCTTTTACTATTTTCCAAATTTTTTTGTAAACTATGAAAAAAATACTTTTTTCAAAGCAAAGTTTTTGCAAACAAGCGGACTGTTGTTTAACCATTTAATGACCTGAGCTAAATGCAGAAAGCTTTTCCAAAAAAATGAACCACGTTACAGGCTTGATTCTGAGAAAAAAACAAATAAAGTATAACGAAGAAATCAAAATATTTCTTTTTACTAAAGGGTTTATTTAGCGAGCCTTTTGATTCTGATCTACAAAGCCTTACTATTTTTTCAACTATATTTTAAAAAACAAAACCTGTGGCCCGCGAGCGATTCTAACACGACAATTTTGGCCCGCAAGAAAAAAAGTTTGGACACCACTGCTCTGGACATTGAAATTGTATCCTCAAAAAATTATACTATGTTCATCTGCGCCAGTTTCAAAAGGTGAACTGTTTTCAACTGAGAGTGCTGTTAGCGTAGCGTCAAAAAACAGCTCACACTCAGGGCGTTTTTGCGCTCTCTGCACTGAAAACGTTGAACTGTGTTGGTTTTGAATAGAATATAGGTGCTGGTAGTGAAAAAGGCGCCGTCAATGGACACAGGCCCTCGAGTTGAAAAATGTTTCTAGGCAATATGTCTCATTAGTGTTGAGAAACATGTGCATCTAAAAGTCTTTAAATAAGTCCAGAACACACAATAAGACACTGTAATCATTAGATAAAATCAACATTTATTAAAAAAATACAACTATTAATGTTACAGTCACGGTGGTCGGTATGGTCAGTCATTAGAATTCAACACAGCAACAAGTCAAAGTGTGTGAGGTTCCCAATTCATAGAGCAAATGTGCCCTAAAACACAAACACAAAAAGGAGATAAGGAACAATGTGACTGAGCGCAGCTACCATGAGGATATAAAAATAGATAAGGACATAAGGTTCCTTCTCAAACAGGAAATGAAGGCGATGGACTGAGTCGCCTTTCACACATAACACTCATTATCCATTCCTCTCAGACAACGCCCCCTCCTCCTCCCTCCATCACATGCTGAATTTTTGGAAGAGACAGAATCCGTCAGTGTGAAATGAGGTCAGCGATCGCGTCTCCGATGGAAATTCACCTACTCTACCCTCCAGACCATGGACACACGGACACGGACACGGACACACACACACACACACACTGAGAGGGTTCACTTTCTTTTCAACACTCAGTCTGTGTTGCTAACTGGTTGCCATGGCAACTTTCTTAAATTCCCAGTCAGTCAGTACGAGTGTGAGAGTCTGAGTGTGTGTGGAAAGTGTAATCGAGTGGAGTCATTTAGGGCTCACAGGGAAAGTAATTTTCTTGCAGTAATGTCCATTTTAAAGACAATTTCAGGACTGTGGGTTTCCAAATAAGCCTGCAGCTAGTCGCACTAACACTGTGAGGACGTCTCGGCAATGACCAAACATTCAGGAAATACTGTTCAACTCCCACCATTAATCACAGACAGATCACTGTGTTTTACTAGCCTGACAATAGTCCTTTAGCTCCTCATTTAACAACAGATCTCACTTGATTCGTCTTACTCTCCGCAGGCGTCTCTGTGCAGGGTTCACACTAAGGGTCCCCAGCAGATTAAACCCACTGAATGTGACTGATATGTGTGTTGCATCATACGTTTTCTGATTTATACTCTGATCCAATGATGAAAGATTTTTTTATCACAAAATCGTCGAAGTGAAGGAGCACCAGTCAGTTTGATCTACGCTTTCAGAAACAAGTAGCATGAAGAAATAGACTTCATCATCACCGGGATTTATCCGTATTAAAACGATGCAGAAGTAATGAAATGTAGACAAATAACGTCTGCAATACAGTCAGGCAAAGAAATAAAAAGTATACTTATGATCCTTGAGATCATATTCATATTTTCATTTTTGAGGTAATTTAAGGTCCCATCATTTCTCCAACGTTCATTCAATGCGTTTATTTTCTGAATTCACATGTTTGTAGATCAGTTTTCCTTTGTGAGAGACGGGGTCTGCTACTTCTGTATTCTGTTCAAGCTTTACTTCACACACAGGGAATTCACATGAAATAATGGATGTGGTTTGATGTAAATAGTAGGAGAATGTTAGTGATTCTCACGGTGGATCAGTTTTGTGTAGTGTCTCAGGTGTCAACTGAAAATTATTAAAGGTCCAGTATGTGAGATATTTACTGATAAATATTGGAGAAGCTTTGGAAAAATGAAGAGAGGTTAGACCGCAGAAAGATTGCAAGACTTATACAGAGCTGGCCAAACACTGCAGCTTCCGTGTCCACAACATGGCAACCCACATGCACACTGACTCTCGGGAGGAGGGGGGCGGGGGGAGACAGCTCTCTACAATGTTTGAATTTGGACAGCAGTACCCACTTCAAACACTAGGTGTCAGAGTTACATATATTTTAAAAAGGATATCATGAAGATCGTAGCTTGGTTGTCTTTGGTGGCAAAAATGGTATTAAGTTGACATTGCAGTTGTGTTTTTTGAATCTTTGGGCCAGTCGTATCAGTTCAATTCTTTTAGATTCTTACTGTCTTCATCTGAATGTCTGATTTTTTTGTTTCGTGTGGATTTTCACGTTTTTTTTTTTTAATTCATCAATTTGACATGACATATTTTAGCCAAGGACACCTCTACCACAAACTTTCGAGGGGATGGATGGATGGATGATGGAAGTCATTTGTGATTTTTACTAATCTGTCAATTTAGCTGCCGGTTAGTTACAAAAGCAAGGGCTTTTGTAAAATGGCATTAGCTCCTATTAACTCGGAAGGAAAAAGAAAAAGGCCTATGCACGCGGAGTCCTTTTTTTTTTTTTTTTGGTACACACACACACAGGGATGGATCCGAAAAAAACGCAGAATATCGAACCTGTTCCGAAAAAATAATGACGGACGTAAGTTTCTGAGTAAGTGTGTAAACATGATTGACATAACTTGAGCTCGTATTTCTTTTTTAATGAGCGTCAATTTCTGACAGAAAAAAAAACGACTCGGTGTGCAAAGGCCTTTAACATTCATGCATTTTATATCTTCAAGATTATGACTTTGAAGATTTATTCATTCAAGAGCAAATGTAGTCAGAAAAAAAAGTTTTTGATTTAGTGATATAAATTAAGAATAATTATTTCTCAAGTCAACACACATTCAAAGACTTTGTAATACAGAACATTGGGTTATTCATCTATTGCCTTCACAGCAGAGTGAGGGGCTTCAGACAGAGAGATAAGAGTCGGATCAGAGGTCATCAGAAAGGTCACCATCTTTAAGGACATCCATCAAAAAACACATACAACATAATATGAATAGTTTGCATAGAATGGCTACCAAGGAAACAGAAAACACACTACAAGTAGCTACAACTTCTGGATATGTTTGGATGATTCAAGAGAAATACCATCTTTAAATATACCTACAAGGTAAGAGAAGGATCACCAGCAGTGGACTGTGTTTATTTAACGTTTCGTATACTTAGTTTCCTTCACTAGCTGTTTTCAATAATATTTCAATGTTAAAGTTGGAATATTCCTTTAATAAGTTTGAATACTTTTAAAGTGACTCTAACATCTAATTCTATAAAAGTGTATTGACTTGAAGTTGGTCTCATTAACAATGTGATACAGGAAGTGATAAAGTTCCTCACAAAAGAACCACTAAAGTTAGCACACATGCAATGCCCTTTGTTTTTTTTCACAGAGTTTCAAGAAACTGTTCCTCCAGAGATGCATTTGGAAGAAGGAAACATTCAGAAGAGAGAGATAACAAACTTCTTTCTTTTAATTTCCCTTCAACATTCAACTCGTCTGATAATGTTGGAAAGAAATGGCATCTTCTCTTTGTTTATAACTCTACTACTTTTCTCTACCTATATTCATACATACAGTACATTTTTTATCTACACTTGAATGAATACTCAGAATGTTCTGGTCGTTCTCATTTCAAGTGGTCAAATACAGCAGCTTGGTCAGTAACACGATTGATGCTGTAGGGAGCATTATTTTCGGACTCTTGCTTATTGTCTAATCTGCTGTTGTAGTCAGCTAATGTGGACTAACCAAAGGTCTGCTTGGAGTGGTGATAGGGGGAATATATGGATTAAACATCCAGTGGACAAGAGTTTGATTCTAATATAAAAAAAAAATTTCTATCGTGTTGGACGCACTTTTAATTAGGGCCCGACCGATATGGGATTTTTAGGGTTAATATCGATATCAATATCAGGAGAAAAAAATCTGATACAGATAAATTGGCTGATATCTTTCTATGTTCGATCTTAAGAGATGGATAAAGATATACACATTTGACATGCAGTCTAACAAAGGCAAGATGGGGACTCAACTGATAAGTGACTGTGCGTGTCCGAGCATCCCTCCTTGACACTATGGAGAGAGATGATGCTTGTTGTAATCCATATAGCGACCTCTGCTGGTGAAAGAGAGCTACTAGTGTAATACAATAAAACTCAAATAGTGTTATTTGCCTGGTGAATAAATCAAGTAATATTGGCTCATATCTGTGATATAAGTAGTCGATGCCGATAGTCACTTGATACCCTAATATTGGCCGATATTTTCCGATGGCCGATTAATCGGTCGGGCTCTACTTTTAAGACCTTTATTTTCATCTAAAAGTGGCCTTAAACTTATATACCTGTGCAACCAATATACCAATATAACATGCTGACACATGCCCCGAATCGACTGCGAGTGCAGCCGCATCCATCACGCCACCTGACTGGATTTCAAATTCCCTTCCAGTTATTGTGTATTGCATACATACCGACACGGACCAGGCTGCCAGCGCAGCTTTTAAAGAGTTTTTCCCCTTCTTTAGGTCATAATCATGCATTTGAAGAAGAAGATGGAATGCAGTTAAGTACATAACCCTTGTGGAGTGCTGGTTTGATTGAAAAGACTCTTCATATAAAATGATCAGCGGAGGTGGGCAGCACGACTTCAGGCCAATTGGTCTCGAGCTGTGTGTTTGTAATTGACATCTCTCAATGTTTCCATAGGCAGAGAGCTGAACTTCCTTAACCAGTAGCTTGCAGGGATTGCAAACTCCACATGGTGAAGACAGACTGCACTAGAAAGAGCTACACAGCTGAACAGAAACTGCACGCTGTGAATTTTGGTGAACACAGGAAGACAGTTTAAACCTTTTTTTTGGGAGAACCCAAAATTAGACTGCGTCTCATATAACCTAGCTAAAATAGAAATTAAGCACATTCATCACTCGCTTTACAGTGGGTTAGTTCGAAAGGAATATTAATTATATAACTAGTGAGCATATGTTAGTAGAAGTATGACCTTTTTACCTAAACCTTACACAGCAAGCTTTATTTTGAAAACCTGACCAAATGTTTATTATCTGTTATTGCTAACTTGATAGCTTTATTGTGGAAGTCTAACCAGTTGTTGTATATTTATTATTGCTACTTTGACTACAGAGTCTTGTCCATGTTGGCAGAGTGATAACAAGATAGTCGTATTTGAAGCTTAGGGCCACTGACCAAGCTGCATATTAGATTGTTGGGTGCCCAGTAATCTCGATGTGCGCTGGATTATTCTGATCTTGGATGCATATTTGAAGATGTTGCTATGACAACATGTTAGATATGTTTTAGATTAAACTGTTGTTTAATTACAAAGCTATTGATGAGACCAAGGTCCCGGTAGAACATAAACCCCACAATTATCTTTCTCTTCTCATATTTGTACCTTCTGTCTCAAGTTGTCCAATCTTTCCCTACACACCTTGTTTTTGCTTCTCCGAACAGGGGATTGAGACTTCAGAACCAAAACAAAACAACAAACACACAAAAAGCAAAGTGTTCCTGATGTTCCTTCATTCAGCCCTTAGGCCTACAGGAGCTCGGTGAGGTCGTGATCCATCCCTCGCTCCTTCAGCTGCTGCAGCCGGTGGTAGCGATGGACGACTTTGTCTTCAGTCACCACCACCACCCTGACGCCGTGGGTGTCTTCACCCAGCTGGCAGCCGATGGCCGAGCTCACCACCATGTCCAGGCCGCCGTGACAGCCTCCAGCGTTTCGGTGACAATGGCCGGAGAAGACCGCTGTCACCCCTGAGGAAGTGATAGAGGTGTTTGAATGTTGAGTTTACATCGATGAAGAACCTACAGAGAAGCATTGAATGATGGAACAAAACTATATAAACTAGGACATTGCTATGAACAGGTATCATGATTTTAAAGTGTTTATGTTAACACACACCAAGGCTCAGTCCCATTTCACCCCTTACCCCTACCACTTAGCCCTTGTCCCGATTCCTGTTGCAGCGGAGGGGTTGGGTGAAGTGTCAAGGCTACTTGGCCCCTTAAAATGAGATCCGTCTGAGACACACTCCAAACAGAGTCATCACCCAGAATGCACTGCACATCACCGGCAAAAATGACAACGGCAAAAGAGACATTCATTTATGAGATCTGAAAATTATGACATTAAGATTATCTTGGTTTAAAGGTCCAATGTACTATGGTCCGTTTCTCCAGAAAAGGCATGAAGATAATTGTTCATATTTTCAGCATTTTGGGAAAGACCAGCATTTGCGTCCTTTTACATCATTGCAGTCGCCGACTTAAGGGGTTGTCCCATGATGATAAGCCATGAATTACTAAAGGCATAGAAAATGCCTGTAAAAAGAAAAATTTACTTTACAGGCTATTCTTAAAACTTAGAACAAAGGATGCAGAAAATAGATATAAGACATATAAAAATAAATTAATAAGAATTATTAGATTAAATAAGAAGGAATATTACCACAGGCTACTGGAACAGCATAGGAGTAACATCCAAGGGACATTGGAAAATTTTAAATAGCATAATGAAAAAGAGCACTGGCAAAGTAGACTATCCTAATTACTATCCTAAGAAAATCATGAATAAAACAAAGGAAACTGCAAATGAATTCAATAATTTCTTTGTATAAGTTGGACCTAACCTAGCAAACGAAATTGTAGAGCAGAGAGACAAGGAAGGACTGGATGAAAAAAATATTAGACAGAATCCCAATTCCATCTTTATCAGCAATGTAAATGAAAATGAAATACTTGATATTGTAAATAAATTAAAAAACAAAAAGTCCACAGATTTTGCTAATATAGATATGATGCTAGTCAAAAACATAATAGATTGCATAGTAACACCATTCACACATATTTGCAACCAATCATTCCTCACAGGCATTTTCCCCAATGCAATGAAAACCGCAAAAGTCATTCCAGTCTTCAAAAGTGGAGATAGGCATCAATTAACAAACTATAGACCAATATCTTTGCTCTCACTATTCTCCAAAATTCTTCAAAAAATGTTTGTTGAAAGACTAGATCATTTTATAGAGAAACACCATCTATTGAGCAACCACCAGTATGGTTTCAGATGCAATATGTCCACCTCAATGGCAGTGATGGAGCTGGTGGAAGGGATATCTACTGCAATAGACAACAGGGAATACACAGTGGGGGTCTTTATTGATTTAAGAAGGCTTTTGACACGATTGACCATGGTTTACTCTTGAAGAAAATGGAAAGATATGGTGTAAGAGGAATTGCTCATGAATGGCTTAAAAGTTACCTAGACAACAGAAACCAGTATGTACATATGAACAATGTTGATTCTGATTTGCAAAAAGTCACGTATGGGGTCCCACAAGGCTCTGTGCTGGGTCCAAAACTATTTATTATGTACATTAATGATATATGTGATGTTTTGAAAGTACTAAAGTGTGTTTTGTTTGCCGACGACACCAGTCTGTACTGCTCTGGAAAAGATACTGAGCAGCTCCTGAATGCAGTGGAAAAGGAATTGACAATTATAAAGTGGTTTGACATTAATAAGCTGTCATTGAACCTAAGCAAAACAAAATGTATTATTTTTGGCAATAGAAAAATGTATAAACAGGCCAAACTCAAGCTCAATGATGTTGAAACTGAACGTGTAAATTAAAATACATTTTTGGGCATCATAATAGATAATAAACTCAACTGGAAATCACAGATACATAATTCAAAATAAAAAATATAAAAAAACATTGTTATATTGTATAAAATGAAAAATATTTTGAATCAGAACTCACTTTATATATTGTACTGCTCCCTCATTCTTCCATACATTACGTACTGCGTGGAAGTATGGGGTAACACATATAAAACAAACCTAAACCCAATTTTCAGACTACAAAAGAAAGCCATCAGAATTGTGAATCATACCAATTACTATGACTCAACAAATCCTCTATTCATCAAACTACACATTTTAAAACTAGAAGATCTAGCTGACCTCAACACTGCTGTTATAATGTACAAGGCACAGAATAATGCACTTCCATACTGCATCCAGGAACTGTTCAGGGCTAGAGAAAGCAAATTTAAACTAAGGGGAACATGTATGTTCAAAAATTCAAGGGCAAGAACTAACACCAAAGGTAGGTGCTTATCTGTTAAAGGGGTTAACCTATAGAACAACTTAAGACAACGAATTAAAAATGTGCAGCTCAATTAGAAAATTCAAAAAACCGTTCAAATTCAGGGTAATAGAAAAATATAAAACATCATTATGATAATGTTTATAACTATAGTCTGGTTATAATTAATCATTTATGGAAGCTTTTCATTTAATTTTTTTTTTCCTTTTATTGTTTTGATTTGGTTAACTGACAACTGTTTTCTGTTTTGTGAAATCAGGTTACTTTGTTTGTTTCTTTTTTTGCAGCTATTTTTTGTTTTGATATACTGTATAAATGAAATGTTCAAAGGGTAGGCATAATAAGCCTCGGCTTCATCCTACACCTTTTCGGCCATCGTTTTATTTTTTTTATTTTTATTATTGTTCGTGTATGTTCTATGCTTTGTGGTCATGGCCCGAAATAAATATTTACTACTAATATTTACTACTACGTAGGGGAAAGATTTCACCACTAGCCCCTTGCAGCTCTGTTCAAAGGGGTAAAGTGGCACTGAAAACGAGGGGTAAGTGGTACAGTAGGGGTAAGTGGTAGGGGTAAGGGGTAAAATGGGCCCAAGTCCACTCTGCCCTTCAATCATCCCACATATGGTGCAGGATGTTCAAGTATTTACAGTTTTTGAGCATAAAATGACCTCAAAGTGACCCTGAGGACTTATCAAAGCTTGTTGCTAATGTCACGTGACACAATTGTTCCTCAATCAGGAGATTTTTGCCTTTAAATAACGGATTGTACAGCCTCTGTAATGTTTTGGAAAGGAGAACATGCTGCTTAATGTCTTGTCTTGCAAAAGAAGCATACAGTATTATTTCAGTATACATAGAAGCAAACTGCACTGCACCTCTGTAGTGTAGTCTTAATCATTAATCATCATTAATCTCAAACTATCTATTATCAGCTAAAATTACAGGAGAAAGGCTTTTCATTGGGCGGAAAAAGAGACAGTAGTTTTTAGTATCTGTATCACCTGGGAGCTTTAAAAAAAGTGAAACAGGGGAGGAAGGAAGAATGACAGAGGTAGAAAACAACCAAGGTGACGGATTGGTCGGGTTGAATGAGATAGCAAAAATGAGAAGAAAAAAGTTACGAGGTTAAGAAACAAAAAGGGAAAAAAATAAAGATAACCAAGCGAAAACAGAAAAAAGAAAGAAAATGGTGAAACAAAGGGATTATCAACCTTGGAGGCCTTCCACTTGTTGCACATTTTGAAATCCAGGGACACACACATTAGACGAGGCGCAATTTTCATTAATATTCGATTACACACCATCATTAATGGAGCAGCAAGGCTTTGACCCTGCACCGTGGCCGTGATGCTGTGTAACTACAGCTGATATGACTGAAACCTTCAAATGGCCAATGGGCATGTTTCACAGTTTGAAGGCTAGACTCTGAATAACCAGTGTAATGTTTGTAAGAGTTGATTGTGAGAGATGTTACGCTTTATGAGGACATTTAATTCAGTAGTAGTAGTGGTGAGTAATATAAAAGGACATGGTTAAGGCAAAGGAATTGTATTAATATAATGTATAAAAAACTATTTTATTCAAAGATTTAACTCTGCATGAGCCTGCATTTTCAAAGTTGCATACACGTGTTGACAGGGGATAGTGTCGATTGGAAGACAGAATCAGTTTTTCTCTCCAGGTAAATCCAGCTGCAAGATACAAAATGTCTTGATATAATCTGAGCTAAAGAATGACAAGAAAAGTATATAATGCAGTGTGTGTATGAGAAAGACGAAGTAGCATCTGCACAACAAAGACAAGGAGGGTCTGTTTTGAAAATATGTATCCACAGCTGGTAGATGTCAAACCACTGTTTTTCCTGTCCTTCCTTTTACACAGTCAAACAGCCCCAGAATACAAATATGACTTAAATATAATTCTTATTCAGGCTTGTGTGTGGACACTGGTTGCATTCACTTGACAAGTAATGCCTGTGTGTGTGTGACTCAATTCACTCCAATTATAATTAAGACCTGGGGCAACAGCTCTGTGTGAGATTTTTGGGAGGAACTGCAGCTGCATTATTATTAACCACACATTTCATGAGTATGTTTGTGTGTGTGTGTGTATGTGTGTATGTGTGTGTGTGTGTGTGTGTGTGTGTGTGTGTGTGTGTGTGTATGTGTATGTGTATGTGTATGTGTATGTGTGTGTGTGTGTGTGTGTGTGTGTGTGTGGCACTGGAATATTGGCTCCTTGTGTAACCCTGCCATTGCTCGTGGTGACTGCATAGCTGGTCAGGCTCAACTCTGTCTACTGTATATCTTGGTATTGCTGGGATGAGCTGTGCTATTTTTCTTTTTTAGATCAAGCGGGATCAACGTATGTCAAATCGGTAACGCATCGCTCCAGTCGTGTCGTAACACGCCAGTTTAACCTTCCATGGTGGCCTACATACAACTTTATCTCCATTTTCTAGCTCCAAATATTGCTGCTCCTATGAGATGCCGTCCATCCACTGTGCTGGTTTGCATCCCGGCACTAAGGCGAGGAGAGCAGCCCCGTTAACCTGAGCTACAGCACCGGCTAGTGGCGGGTGGTTGTGTTACAGCTTGGACGCAACATTTAAGTGGCATTGTGCGGCCTACATTAATAA